GGTAAGATATTGTCTGCAAGTAGCCTAATATTTTGGTATCTTTTGGCGAGCAATGGGGCTTTTGCAGTTCACAATTATGGAAATAAATACTTGCTGTTAATTCCATTGGCTTGATTTCACTATGCAATACATACAGAGTGAGCCAGAGGCTGATGTGTTAGATAATAAACCTGTATATCATAGTTTTGGGTCCATTTGTTTAAAGAATCGACGGGACGGGCCGATTCAAGCGCTATTTATTTTTTACATTAATCACGATGGCTCTTGGTTTCCAGCGCCTCATTCCGCTAAAGGTATGCTGTTGTATTTTTTTAAATTAAACAGAGAATAATAAGCAAAAGTGTATGTTGGAGTCAAACTCTAACCAGCTAGTGCCAATGTAAACAATGCATCAATGCGTGAAGATGATGAGAGGGAGGAAGATGCTACTTTGTGTACATTTTTCGTCAGTAATCTTCAGAATTAAAGAGACATTATGGCTCCTTTGACCACATATATTAGCATTCCTGTGCCGGTATGACAGCCGACTCGAGAGTAGTTGGAGTTGCTAATTTGATGGGGCTACTATATCATCTGTAAGCGATCAGCGAAAATTGTCAATACATCTTAATGCATAAATGGGCTAGAGGGAAGGACAGATTAAACTTATCTGTTGAAGATCTAAGCACTGGCAAAGATTATCCTCTAGTTGAGGTAACAGCTCACCTGAATCCTTGTTACATCGAGTGGTTTGGCAAGTAGTATTTCTCCAGTGCCCGAATTGACCACGAAAGTGTTCGCGTCTGTGCCTGAAAGACTGTAGACCCAGACGGGGCGCGGGTCAGTCGTAGTGGCCGCCAGTGTGCCAATTTTGGTACCAATCATAGTGGCCTCACTCAGAGTGAAGGAATAGCTCGGCTGTGTAAAAACGGGCGGTTTGATATTCACACTGAGCAGTGTGATCGTCAAAGTGAGTGTGGCTAGGGGACCACGAGAAAAAAAGTGGGAATGAAATTACGATTAAGATGGAGTAATATGTTACATTCGTGAAAGCCCCGAAATAAAAGCCTAAGTAGGTCTGATTGTAAAAATACGGTCGCATGTTTGATAAATTCACTGATTATATCCTGTCCTCACATGTCTTAACAATAGCTTTGGGCTTACAAAGTTTTGCCCTGCAGTGAAAGTTGTGCTTGCCATCAAACAATGAGATTTAAGTGCGCTGGCTTGCTTGATAATGGGTTCATGTCTGCACACAAAAGATACAACTAGAAGATGACTAGAAGCGATAACGAATTAATTGATTTCAAAACTATCACTTTATTTTGAATAAGAACTAAATGTATCGAAGGTCATGTAAAGTGATTGAAGGCCAACGAATCGAATTTCCCCCATTGAAATGAGTTTAAGGCTACGTGATGCCATTGGATTTCACTAAACCTTGCCTCAAATATCATGATTTCGTTTTCAAGATTAACTGTAATTTTGGTCCTGCCTTGGTTTCATTAGCCCTACCAACAGGTCTCTATAACGTGCGGAATTTGTGGCTGCTTTCCCAAATGGTGACGGCTCATCTTGACATGCGTGACTTGTATTCGTATTAAAGTAGGGTTTCGAGACTACCAGTAACTCAGTGTAATGAGATGTATTCACCCT